CCTGAAGTCCCGGGATCAAGTCCCGGGATCAAGTCCCGGGATCGAGTCCCGCATCGGCCTCCCTGCGTGGAGCCTGCTTTTCCGTCTGCCTGTCTCTGCCTCTATGTCTCTCATGAATAAATAAATAAAATCTTTAAAAAAAAAAAAAAAGCCAGCTCCAACCTGCTGCTCTTTTTTCACCTCTTTGCTATTTGGGACACAGGTTTCCAGGTCTGGAAAGGCTCCTTCCTTGATGGGCCTGGGATTACAAAACAGGCCAGTGGGTTTGGGTGATCCCTGGCCAGGGCTGGGCTGAGAACAGGACTGAAGGCAAGGGCCAAAGAGGAAGGGCTAGGCAAAGGATTTAGTCTTTGTGTATTGTGCCACAAAATTGTTTTCTAACAATTAGAAGCTTTGTAAAGGCTATATCTATAGATACTTATCTTTCTCAAAATGTTTTTTAAAAATATCTGTTAACAAAGTTTATATCAAGTGGAAAAAATCAGGACACATGATTATAGACATTATTGTCTTGATCTTATTTTTTATTAAAAGTAAAGAAAAACAGTTTGGCCCTTAACACAGGTGCCCCCCGCCCCCCGCAGTTAAAAATCTGTATAATAACTTTTGATTTACCAACAACTTAATTACCGATAGCCTACGCTTGGCCAAAAGCTTTATTGATAACGGCACATATTTTGTATATTATATGTACTATATGCTGTATCCTTACAGTAAGTTAAGCTAGAGGAAAGAAAATACTATAAAGAAAGTCATAAGAAAGAAAAAACTCATAGGACTGTACTGGATTTATTGAAAAAAACTTGCCTATAACTGGATCTGTGCAGTTCTAAAAACTATGTTGTTTAAGGGTCAACTGTGTGTATGTGTGTGCACCCCTGCCTCTAAAAGAGATTGAGAGGAAAACACCAAAACATGGATGTTGGCTGTTTTGGGGTAGAAGACTGAAAAGGAGACAGTGAATGAGTGATCTTGTTTTAATATTTTCATATATTATCAGGGCACCAGATGGTTCAGTCAGTTGGGCGCCTGCCTTCTGGTCAGGTCATGATCCCACGGTCCTGGGATTGAGCTCCCTGCTCAGTTCTCCCTCTCCCTCTGCCCTTCCCCCTGCTTTTGTGCTCTCATGCTCCTGAGCTTGCTCTCTCTCTCTCTCTCCCTCCCCCTTTCTTCCAAATAAATAAAATCTTTTTTAAAAATACATTTTCTGGGATGCCGGGGTGGCTCAGCAGTTGAGCGCCTTGCCTTTGGCCCTGGGTGTGACCCTGGAGTCCCTGGATCTAGTCCCACATCAGGCTCCCTACAGGATGTCTGCTTCTGTCTCTGCCCCTCTCTCTCTGTGTCTCTCATGAATAAATAACTAAAATCTTTAAAAAAAAAATACACTTTCTTGTTATCACTTGTCAAAGAGGGCTAAATCCTATCAGATCTTGCAAAGAATCATTACAGAAAGGTTTTCCAGGCGTTCCGGTGAATTGCTTTTAAACTTGGCATTGCCATCCTGCTGAAAAGTCCTGTCATGTTCATGTTTGGTTTTTTTTTTTTAAGATTTTGTTTATTTATTCATGAGAGACACACAGAGAGAGGCAGAGACACAGGCAGAGGGAGAAGCAGGCTCCCTGCGGGGAGCCCGATGTGGGACTCAATCCCGGTCTCTGGGATCACGCCCTGGGCTGAAGGCAACGCTAAACTGCTGAGCCACCCGGGCATCCCAAGGATTTCCTTTTATTTATAACTGCCTAATAATTCTATTATATGTGTATATATGTGTATATGCATTCCATTGTGTGCATGTGTATGTATATATATATATATCATGTGTGTATACATACACACACAATCATATTTTCTTTATTTATTCATCCACAAATGAACACTTAGGTTGTTTCCATGCCTTAGCCTTTGCAAATAGCTCTGTGATGAGTATAAGGGTGCAGATATGTCTTCAAGATAGTGATTTCAGGGCACCTGGGTGGCTCAGTCAGTTAAGTGTCTGACTCTTGATTTCAGCTCAGGTCATGATCTCAGGGTGGTGAGATTGAGCTCTGTGTGGAGCCTGCTTATGATTCTCTCCCTCTCTCTCTGCCCCTCCCCTCCCGCACTTTCTCTTAAAAAAAAAAAATTAAAGAGGCACTGGGTGGCTCAGTGGTTGAGCATCTGCCTTTTTTTTAATAATTTTTTTAAAGATTTTATTTATTCATGAGAGAGAGAGAGAGAGAGAGAGAGAGAGGCAGAGACACAGGCAGAGGGACAAGCAGGCTCTGTGCAGGGAGCCCAATGCGGTACTCAATCCCTGGTCTCCAGGATCAGGCCCTTGGCTGAAGACAGGCGCTAAACCGCTGAGCCACTTTAAAAAATAATAAAAAAATAAAAAAATTGATGATTTCATTTCCTTCAGATATATACCAAGAAGTGGGATTACTAAATCATATGGTAGTTCTATTTTTAATTTTTTGCAGAACCTCCATACTGTTTTCCATAGTGGCAGCACTAATTCACATTCCTCCCAACAGTGCACAAGTGTACATCTATTTCTGATGGTTTCTTTCGCTGTTCAGAAGCTTTTATTTTTGTATCAGCGTTTGATTTGCCAACATATAGCATATCACCCAGTGCTCATCCTGTCAAGTGCCCCACTCAGTGCCCATCACCCAGTCACCCCAACCCCCCACCCACCTCCCTTTATACCACCCCTTGCTCGTTTCCCAGAGTTAGGTTCACCCTCACTGATATTTTCACTCATTTTCTCTCTCCCCCCCTTTTTAAAAATATTTTATTTATTTATTCATGAGAGACAGAGAGAGAGGCAGACACACAGGTAAAGGGAAAAGCAGGCTCCATGCAGGGAGCCCAACGCGGGACTCAATGCCAGGTCTCCAGGATCACACCCTGGGCCAAAGGCGGGCACTAAACCACTGAGCCACCCAGGGATCCCCCTCTCCTTTCCCCTTTAATCTCTTTCACTATTTTTTATATTCCTCGAATGAATGAGACCATGTAATGTTTGTCTTTCTCCAACTGACTTATTTCACTCAGCATAATACCCTCCAGTTACATCCACGTTGAAGCAAATGGTGGGTATTCGTCCTTTCTGGTGGCTGAGTAATATTCCATAGTATACAGAGACCACATCTTCTTCATCCATTCATCCTTTGATGGACACCGAGGCTCCTTCCACAGTTTGACTATTGTGGACATTGCTGCTATAAACATTGGGGTGCGGGTGTCCTGCTGTTTCACTGCTGCATCTGTATCTTTGGGGTAAATCCCCAGCAGTGCAATTGCTGGGTCGTAGGGCAGGTCTATTTTTAACTCTTTGAGGAACCTCCACACAGTTTTCCAGAGTGGCTGCACCAGTTCGCATTCCCACCAACAGTGCAAGAGGGTTGCCCTTTCTCCACATCCTCTCCAACATTTGTTGTTTCCTGTCTTGTTAGTTTTCCCCATTCTCACTGGTGTGAGGTGGTATCTCATTGTGGTGTTGATTTGTATTTCCCTGATGGCCAGTGATGCAGAGCATTTCATCATGTGCTTGTTGGCCATGTCTATGTCTTCCTCTATGAGATTTCTGCTCATGTCTTTTGCCCATTTCAAGATTGGATTGTTTCTTTACTGTTGAGTTTATTAAGTTCTTTATAGATCTTGGATACTAGCCCTTTATCTGATATGTCATTTGCAAATATCTTCTCCCATTCTGGAGGTTGTCTTTTAGTTTTGTTGACTGTTTCTTTTGCTGTGCAGGAGCTTTTTATCTTTTTTTTTTTTTAAGATTTTATTTATTTATTCATGAGAGACAGAGAGAGAAAGAGAGAGGCAGAGACACAGGCAGAGGGAGAAGCAGCCTCCATGCAGGGAGCAGGTGGGCCAGGATTGAGTCCCGCATCAGGCTCCCAACAAGGAGTCTGCCTCTCTCTCTCTGTGTCATGAATAAATAAATAAAATCTTTAAAAAATAAAATGTGGAAAAATAAAAAATAAAATGTGGGATCAAGACTCAAACCTCAGATCTCTATCTCTAAATCATGTTTCTTCCACTAAAACAGAAACTGCCAGGATTGCCCTGCAGCATATCCAGTGTGACCTGCTGGCCAGGATGCCACTCTCATCCCCAGAAGCACTGGGGCATTGGCCCACCTGCTTTTTTCTGCTTTACAGATGGATGATGAGGATTCCATTCTCCCCAGGAAGCTTCAGGTAGCCCTGGAACACATTCTGGAGCAGAGGAATGACCTGGCTAGTGACCAGGATGAAGGACCCCTGGACTGCAAGCGTGGTAAGTGGTCAGCCGCCTACCAGACTGCCTAACACTCTTCCGTCTTTAGAGTCGGGCAGCAAATGGGCAGGTGACTAGTCCTTCCACGTGGCATGGAGTTAAGCAGGAAAACTGTCGCAGAGAGGCGTGCAAGGAGAGAAACTGGGTGTGTGAGCCCTTTGTCTGGGTCTTATGCTAACAATGAATTGTGAGAAAGAGGGATGCCTGGGTGGCTCGTTGGTTAAGCGTCTGCCTTCGGCTCAGGGTGTGATCCTTGGGTCCTGGGATCGAATTCTGCATCAGGCTCCCTGCAGGGAGCCTCCCTCTGCCTACATCTCTGCCTCTCTCTGCGTGTCTCTCATGAATAAATAAATAAAATCTTAGAAAAAAAAGAATTGTGAGAGTTTCCCACCTCCCCCATTTTGGCCCTAAAATGCTCAAATAAAGTGGGGGGAAGAGATGGTTTCATTACTCAGGGTAACCTTTGTCATGGAAGATTATGACTCGCTTTAGTAGTTACTTGTGCCCGTGGGCTATCTGTGCTCTGCCCCTGCCCTCTGCCCTCACCAGTGCTGACCCATCCTTACTCTGCTCAGGCCCGGAGTCCAGTCCCTTGAATGAGGTGGTGTCTGAGGCCTTTGTCCGCTTCTTTGTGGAGATCGTGGGCCACTACTCCTTGTTCCTGACAGCGGGCGAGCGCGAGGAGAGGACCCTGCAGAGAGAGGCCTTCCGCAAAGCCGTCTCCTCCAAGAGCCTCCGCCGCTTCCTGGAGGTTTTCATGGAGACCCAGACCTTTCGGGGCTTCATCCAGGAGCGGGAGCTACGCCGGCAGGATGCCAAAGGTTAGGGGACACCTTCCATGTGGGGGCCCTAGACAGCTAGAGATACCAGGCCCCAAGAGGCAGAGGAGCAGGAAGAAAGGTCATGGGTCCAGGGCGCAGGTGGAAGCAGCAGCCCAGCCCCCTTCAGAGAAGGCTCCTTCTTGCCCCCTTGGAGCTGGTCACACTGCCCCAGTGTCTTGCCTGTCTTCTCTGGCCATCTCTTTCCCTTCTCACAACCTCTCCCAGAACCACATTCCAGCTTCTGGTGGCAGGTTCTCCTTTTGTTCCATCTTTCCAACTTGACACAACTCTGGAGAACATGCTTTCCTATCTCTCGCTGGCCCCTCATCTTCTCCTCAGGCCTTTCCTCCCTTCTTCCCATCTTTCCTCCTGGTTTCCCCGGAATGTGGCCCTAGGCAGGAGCCAGCTAGAATGGAACAGGGGGAGAGAGAGGATGGCTGTGCCCCTTACTCTGTGTCACTGCCTCCTCACACTCAGCCGGACTGGCCACACCAGAGGTAGGACAGCAGAGACTCTCCCAACTTGGGGAGCTTGTGGCTCATCTCACCAGGGAACCTGCCCGGTCCCCTCCTGCACTCTTCTCTCCTTCCCTTTCTTGTCCCCTCTGGCTGGGTTCCATCACACTCCCAGGGCTGGAGGAGGGGAAGTATGTGAAGGAGGATCAAATCACTCCCCTCTCTTTCTTGCATCATCTTAAGTCCTTTTGGAAATCGAAAAGCTAGCAATGTTGCTAAAGCCTAGCACTGATGGGAATTAGACCTGGGTGGGGTAGATGCTTACCACAGTGTGGGGAGAAGCCAGCGTGGTGGGCAGGGAGAGCAGAGAGGGTCCCAGGAGAGCCTCTGGCCCCAGGCCTTGGTGTGGGTCCTCCGGTGCTGTGATGGTAAAGGCTGGGGGAAGGAACCGAAGCCTTACATTCCTGGAGCTCTTTGCAAAGTAAAGGCAGAGGCTGGCCACACTCCAGCTATTCTGAGGAGTGGTATCTGGAGAGACAAAAGGAAATTGATTAGAGCCTGGCTCACACAGCTGACAGCAGGATTCCTTGAAATCGAAGCTCTGCTCTGCTTACGAGAACATCTGCTTCCAGATCACTATCTGATGGAAAGGTTGAGATACAAAAGCTTAAAAGTAGCATGGAAGGCATCCCCTGTCAGGGAAGATGAGGGAGAAAGGAAGACAGTAGCTGAGGCTCACACCCTGGTAGCAGCTGAAGGCACCTCCGAGGTGCCTGTCTGGCCTTCCTGAGCTGACAGATGGCAGATGGATTCCCAGGAAGCTCAACCACCTGGCCAGTGTTCCTCTTAGGGGAGACTGAGGAAAAGGGAGACTACAGGAGTCCTGAAAGCCAGGGCCGTCTGGTTCATCTGTGAAACTGCGTGCCTGGCACAGTATAGACACTTGGAAGGTGTTTGTTGAATAAAAATAGGATTTCATGTACGAGCTAGCTTTACAGCCTTCCAAAGACAGTTATTGCACAAGGCTGGGCAATTATAAGGGCAATAAAAACCCTCATAAACCTTCTGATTCAGAGCATGTTTATAGGAGCAGCTCGTCTCAGAAGCAAGGTTTCTTTTTTTATGGCAGTAGGGAAATGAATATGTTTAGCAGAGAGGGAGAGAGAAGGAACTAAAATGGCTGGGATATCTCTTGCCAACAGGTCTGTTTGAGGTCCGAGCCCAAGAATACCTGGAAACACTCCCCAGTGGAGAACACAGTGGTGTCAATAAGTTCCTGAAGGGACTCGGTAAGACCCTGCAGTCTTGTTCCCTGTCACCAGCCTCTGGTCCACAGAGTCCCGGTGGCTTCCCTCCACCCGGGAGGGTGCTCAGTAATACAGAGCTGGCTGTGACTGTGGCATCGGCATTTTAACATCCTGTCTACTCCGGCCCCAAAGGATAGACAAGGGACACAGAGGACTCCTCCCTGCTTCACTGGCCCCTGGGCCATCCTGCTATCTTTCTTCACTCTTCTCTCCCACACTCTTAAATCTGCTGGGGACTTGAGCTTAAGAAGCCTGAGGGGAACCAAAGGGGTATCTGGCAGGGAAGACCTGGACCAGCCTCCAAATAGCCTTAAAAGTGGGAATGTAAGAATTATAAGGGCTTTGGCTCAGTCAGTGGAATGTGCAACCTTGATCTCAGGGGTTGCGAGTTCAAGCCCCACATTAGGTGTAGAGATTACTATAAAAAATAAAATTAAAAAAAATCAAAGGAATTACTAAGGACTTTGGTTTAATTGAGTATGATAGGGAACACAGGAGGAACTGTCAGTGGGCCATATTCGTGCCTTGCATGGGACAAATGGTTTCCTGGAGAAGGCCTTCCTACCTTCCCGTGCTGCTGGGGGTTTCTCCTCATGTGGCTCCTCAAGGACACGTTACATTCAGTGCTTCCTGTGTCACCTTCCTGGAGCAAATGCTCCTCTACAGCTCTGACGTTCTTCCTTTCAAACCTCCCCACATGGGACACCTGGGTGGCTCAGTGGTTGAGCATCTGTCTTTGGCTCAGGTTGTGATCCTGGGGTCCTGGGATTGAGTCCTGCATCAGGCTCCATGCGAGGAATCTTGTTTCTGTCTCTATGTCTGTGCATCTCTCTATGTTTCTCATGAATAAATAAATTTGAAAAAAATGAACAAACCTCCTCACATCTGAGGAAGATCCCTTTGTGCTGGGGAAGTACATGAGGCAAGGCTCCAGAGGTGGCATGAGAGGCCACAGTCATTCTCCCCACATACATCCTGGAAAGGGTAGGGTTTAACTTTTGTCTGCCTAGTGAAATGTTCTCTTTCTCTCTTTTTTTTAGGCAATAAGATGAAGTTTCTCCACAAGAAATAACCTTCAGCTCAGCCTAAAGGAAAAGCTTCCTCCAAGTTGCAACCATATTTTTAAAAAAACAGTCCCTAGTGGCCTTTCTGAAATGCTGGATCCTGGTTGTCGCCAGTGGGGCTACAGACTAGGATGGCTTCTGACTGTCACCAGGCCTCCCCAGGACTGAGGGCCCAAGAGCTGCCCAGCAGGTGCAGCTTCTTCAGAACAGCACTGGAAAGAGAACCCGAAACCAGGCAGGTCACCAACATTCAAATGGATTGTTTGGGTTGTCGGGTTTGGGATTTTTTTAATATTTTTAATCTTAGGTATTAAAAGAAAGAAACGTGTTTGGGTTTTCTTTTTATTATGCCAGGGCTAAGAAAACTGTCTCCTGCCCTATACCATTGTGCCCTGGTTCATCCTGCCTGGCAGCTGGGCTCTGAAGCCAAGAGGAGAGGAGGAGGGTGGGAGCAGTGACCAAGGACCCGGAAACAAGGCACTCCTGTGGGTAGAGCTGGAGACAAACGCAGGTGTTTAGGGGAGGAGGACTGTGGCGGTCCTCCAGCACTTGTGCTCATGGGTGTCAGGGCGCAAGTCCTCCGAGGAAAAGCATTGGCCTGTGTGTGCAGTGCCCTTACATCGGTCTGAAGGAAGAAGGGGAACAGGAGAGGCCTCGGGTTTCCTGGGAAGAGCTCCACTTCGAGGCCCAGCCAGTGATGCCACCTGGTGGCCGAGGCCATTTGTCGTGCTACCCACTCTTATTCCGGATGGACCTGACACTTCCCGGTGGCCTTTTTTCTCTTGGAAGCCATAGATCCACCCATTGCCCGAGCAGTCTGTGACTTTCAGGAGGAACACACAAAAAAGAGATCTCCTCATAAGATCTGTTAATAAAATATGCTTGGGGTCCTTAAAATATGTAAGCCGCAGCCTTGACCCTATTCCCATTGATATTGTGTGGACAGTTTCCCATCTCATTGTAGGGACCCAGATCAGCATAAATGAAATGGTACATGTGCAGAATGAATGGAGAGGCTTGCGGTGTTGATGTTTACCAGGGGGTTGCCTTCATCAGACTGTGCCAGCTAGGCGGCTTGCCTCCCTGGGACCAGAAGCAAGGAGGTAGGGGAAAAGGCTGCACCCCAAGTCCAGTCCTGCGAGGGTCGCAGCAAAGATGCAGGAAGAGAAGGTGGGCAGCACTGCGGCCAACCCCGCTGCTTGCACATCGCACCAGCGGATCCCCTCTGGATGACACCTGCTGTCCCCACAAAAAGGTCCCCACAAAAGGGATGTGCTCTGACCTGGGCAATGGCCCAAGGGCCTGTGCCACTTGGCAGAGATTCTCTCCTTTAGGGAGTTGGGAGCAAGGGGTCTTCTAAGCGGGGAGGAAAAAAGAACAGGAGGAAAATGATGGCACGGTTGATCTCTCCACAGTAGAGGGTCTTACCTGGGGTCCCGGATGACCCTCTCCCCCTTGCAAGTTACAGCTGAGACTTGGTGCGTCCATTTGTTTCTGAGGAGAGAGGATCCGTAGTTTATATCAGAGTCTCAAAGGGGTCCAAGGCCCCCAAAATGGTTGGAACCAGGCTGTGCACCACAGTTAGCCTGCGTAGGTATGTGTGGTGAGACCGGGGTGGGGGAATCTGAGTGTTAGAGGCTCAGGAATTCGTACCTGACAAGCTCCTCAGATTAGTTAAGTTTATGATACCAGTATTCTGTCCAGAGATGATCACTTGTAATATTTTGGAATATACCTTCTTTTCTAACTTATTTCATATTGTTTACTTAACACCTCCAAGTGAATAAATACACATTTTGTCAACATTTCTAATGACTCTGTAACACTCTATTTTATAGACGTATTAGAAGTTATTTTTACCAATCCTCTACTCTTATGTATGCAGGCTATTTCCAGGTTTGTTTTGTTTTGTTTTTAAAGATTTTATGTATTTATTCACAAGAGACACAGAGGCAGAGGCATAAGCAGAGGGAGAAGCAGGCTCCCTGCAAGGAGCCTGATGCGGAACTTGATCCCAGGACTCCAGGATCACGCCCTGAGCCAAAGGCAGATGCCCAACCACTGAGCCACCAAGGCACCCTATTTCCAGTTTTTAATACCATAAAGTGCATTGAGAAAAGCAACTTTGGGGATGCCTGGGTGGCTCAGGGGTTGAGCACCTGCCTTTGGCTCGGGGCATGATCCAGGGATCTGGGATCGAGTCTTGCATCGGGCTCCCTGCATGGAGCCTGCTCCTCTCTCTGCCTATGTCTCTGCCTCTCTCTGTGTGTCTCTCATAAATAAATAAAATGTTTAAAAAATAAGTAAATATAAATTAAAAAATAGAAAAGCAACTTTGTTTAAGCATCTTAGTACATTGCCTTATCTACATTTTTTGCCTAAAGTGAAATAGACATACAGAAAAGTGCCCAGATCGTGAGTATACAGCGTAACAGACTTATGCAAATGATCATACCCATGTAAGCAGCACTCAGGTCAAGAAGAGACTGTCATCGGACCCTGGAGAGCCCACATACCCATCTTTACAGTATTCCTCCCATCCTGCTCTGCTTACATTTCAACTAAATCAACTGAAAAGTTGTGAACAACTTGCAAAGTGGTAGTTAGGCCAGGGAGTGTCAAAAGCAAGAGAAACAGAGTTGTAATCCCAGCTCACAGTTTAGGACAGATTTTGGATGGATAGCAGGGTTTGGGTTCAGAAACAAAGTACGGCTGTAAGGCCCAGTGGGCTAGACCAGATCCCTGCCCCCAGCCTTCGTGTCTCACCACACACGGAGCATCTGTCCAAAAATGCAGTCGTCTAATGCCAATAAGAAGCACACATCTGGGATCCCTGGGTGGCGCAGCGGTTTGGCGCCTGCCTTTGGCCCAGGGCGCGATCCGGGAGACCCGGGATCGAATCCCACGTCGGGCTCCCGGTGCATGGAGTCTGCTTCTCCCTCTGCCTGTGTCTCTGCCTCTCTCTCTCTCTGTGACTATCATAACTAAATAAAAAAAAAAAAATTAAAAAAAAAAAAAAGCACACATCTTCCATAAGAATGTGTATGTGTTTAGAAGCACTCCATTATTGGGTTTCAGTTCCAGAGAATCACATGACCTCCCCCCCCCCAATGCCATGCTGGAGAATCCTGATCCTGGGGACTTAACTTCTTACCTGCCCAGTCTCTTTCCTCCCCTTTTTCTAATATCAGGGTGAAATTCACAGAACATACAATCAATTTTTTTTAAAAGATGCTATTTATTTCTTCATGACAGACACAGAGAGAGAGGCCAAGACACAGGCAGCAGTAGAAGCAAGGCTCCCCGCAAGGAGCCTGATTCAGGACTCGATCCCAGATCCCTGGATCACGCCCTGAGCCAAAGGTGGACGCTCAACCGCTGAGCCACCCAGGTATCCCACAATCAATCATTTTAAGTGAACAACTCAGTGGCATTTAGTACACTCGCAATGTCAGCAACAACCAATAAACATCTTCACCCCAGAAAGAAACCCTGTCCCCATCAAGCAGTTACTCCCAAACCCCTCCTCCCCCCAGCCCCTGGCAGCCACAATGCTTCTTGCCATTTCTAGGGATTTAGCT